TCTATCTAGTGCGTTCCCTTTACCCCTCCTTCCCTTCCCTACCTCCGGCCCCCCGCCGCGCGGCCGCGCCCGCGGGCGGGGGGGGGGGGGGGGGGGGGGGGCGGGGGGGGGGGGGGGGGGGGGCGCCCGGTTCCCGTCGCTGCTTGTTCAACATGCATTCTGGCTGCGCCCCGATCACCTTGGGCCCTCTCTCAGGCGATGTCAACGCCGTGCGCAGGGTGTCGCGCGTTTCGGATCATAGGTGCGCGTAATGCTTCTGCCCCAAGTGGCGCCTACACCGCGGAGCGCCTTTTCAGTCGAATTCCTTGTGCTGCGGAAGCGATTGTCGGCAAGCGACGAGAGGATAATCATGGCCTCCCGTAGCGGCCGAATAGCCGTTGTTAACGATCAAGGTGACCAAATCGTCTTGATTGAAGACAGCCTTGCCGATGCCAGATGTCAGTCCGTTGTGCCAGAAGCCTCCGTCCACCATCACGGAAATGACGCGCTTGCCGTCCGTGATGGATGCCGAGGCTCCCGCCGCACCCGAACCATACCCCCGTCGTATTGCTGATGCTGAAAGGGGGCGGTATCGAAGAAAGGTGGCACCTGATGTCGGCTGAGACATCCAACAAACCCAGCTTGCGCCTAGAGAGTTCTGCAGGGGTGGCGCCCACGAATGGTCAAGACAAGCCAAAACGCAGCTTGACAAGGCCGAGGGGTGTGGAGGGAGGAACAACGCGGATCTGTGAGCAAGGTGTGGAGATTAAGAAGGTACAGTCAGTCGCCGTTATGCCCAGTGCTGCCACGACGTGGGGGTGGAGATAAAGATGGAACTCGGCGAGGTAGCATGGGAGTGGCCCAGCTAGCTCTTCCACAGGGATTCTCCATGGAGATCCAAGACAAACCTAATACAAAATAGATCCTGTCCACAAGGCATATCAAAGGCATTTCAAGGTTACTAGCATTATTAGCCATGGCATACACTTTGTACACAGCAATGGGACTAACCTTCACATGTTCCAGATCCATGCCTGGTTGCTCCAGCAGCAGCCCAGTTCAAGTACATCCATCAAGCTCGCTATCAACTCAAACCAGCAGCTTATCTTGATCGCATCCTTGCGATTCCGGCCTTCCTTAGGGTGATAGGCAGCAAAGATTATGTCAGTGACGGCCCTGATGTGGCCCTGCAAGGAATGCTCGATGGCGGCGGCATCGATGAGCATGTTAGCGTGCCCGAGGGTGGGGTTCGTCACAAGTACCAAGTTCTGCTGCGGGTACCCAGCTGGTGGTACTCGACAGCTCCTTCCTGTCCACGACGACGACGACGACAAGGCAAAAGGCGCAGAACAGGAGCTTCGGGGGACAGGCCTTGTGAATGGGATAGGATGGGATGGTTGTCAAGAGCGTGCTTGGGAAGTAGACTTGAGGAGAGGGGGGATTGTGTTTCCTATGCATCCATTTCTTACCCTTGGGAGCACCAGGCGAACAGGCCGGTCCGCAAATCTAGCTGGGTTATGTAGAGCTCGGCATGTCTCTCTGAAGTTGGTCGACATCGATTCGGGCCGCCACCGATTCATTCGAGATCGCTCCCTCCAGCATGCAAGCATCCCGTTCCCCGCCAAAGCAGAAGACTTCAGATCTCACCCATGGAGGCGTTCCAGGCTTAGTGGACGTCTCCCACGGTCACGGCTTTGGCCTGGCCGTGGCGTTAAAGAGGAAGGCCGCAGGGCGGTGGAACGGAGAGACGGGTGGATGGGCGCACAGGGGGGCCATACATACCAATTTCGACCAACAATGCTTTAGGGAAGTCCGCCATCTATACGTGCCCAAATCTGCAATCCCTCCGGCTTGACTCACTGAGACAAAGAGGGCCCCATCGACGACAGCCCGCTGGATTGACCGAAACCTGTCGAGAGGGTCCCCAACGCGCATCAAGCGTAGGTTATCGAGGTCGGTCGGTTGGCGCAGCTCGGCGGTCAGGTCGAGTTCGGCAAGAGTGCTGAGGTGGAACTGTGGCGGGGTTTGGAAGGTCAGAGTCGAAGCCGAAGCCGAAACCGAGGCGTTGAGGTGGAGCATGGCTGCGAGGCTAGAGGTTGTTCGGATCGAGAACGTAGGCGGTACAGATGAGAAGATGATTTAGTTAGGGGAGGACTGTGGAGTGGCCTCCGACAGAGTTGGTGGCGAGGACTGGCGGGCTCTTGATGGGTTCAGGGACTCCGCAACAGGCAATGGTGGTGGCGGCGGATTGTTGAAGAATGTCGGGCAGGCTGCCGGGGCCAATGGAATTTAGACGGCTTGCGGTGCTTCTTGTGGTTGCCGTGACAAACCCTTGCCTCTCCGCATCTCCGCTGTGGGCAAGGAGGATGGGCAGGTTATGAGGGATGGGGAGTGAGAGGGGAGGGAGGGAATGAATGCAGTCGGCAAACTGGACAAAATTGACGGCAGGCCCAAGAGACTGCTGGGTACCTACCACTCGTTGCAGGACAGAGGTCTCCGCTGCTGCCGCAAGCCTTCTCCGCAGCCCTGCCCCGTAGACTCACCTCGTGCGGTAGCCCTGCGCCGTAGATTTGCCTTGTATGACTCACCTTGTACGACCCACGACGTGCGGAACGTCTCGTCCCCGCCGTCGGGCCCTGTGTACCTACCTAAGTCGGCATCTTGGTTTTTTTTTGGTTTTTTTTTGGTTTTTTTTTTTTTTTTTTTTTTTTTTGTTGGGGTGGCTGCGGCTCTTGACTTCGGCTACACGAGGCATCTGGCCATCTTGTTTCGATGCCGACGAAGATAGCTCGGTGTCTTGGGAGGCATCAGCCGGTCAAACGCTTGGATGAGAGGCTCTGCAGCGGATTCTTGCGAGGCCGATACCTGCGCGGCCCTCGGCATGATCTCTCCCTCTTGGACGATGTGCCTGATAGGTGCCGTCCAGCCTGTCTTGTGGCAGGCAAGAACTAACCTTCGGGTGGGTAGTTATTGCCAGATATGCGTGTATTCCTAGCTCTTCCTCTCTGTTATCCAGGTGTATGTGTATTCTTGTGTATTCTTGTGCATTCTTATCCGTTCTCAGGGCTTGTTCTCGCGTGTTCTCGGGTATCCTTGTGTGTATTCTTCAGCTTCCCCACGTGTGTTTTTGTGAAGACTGCGGATTGTCGCGTGGGCAGAGAAGGATGAGGTAGGTCAGGCAGGTCGGGGCAAGTCGAGAGTCGGAGCAGGTCGGGGAAGGTGAGACAGGACAAGCCGAGTGCTCGATCTAGAAGAGCAGGCAGGTACGTTATTAGCAGGTGATCCAACATCAAAGGGGCGTGGGAGGTGGGAGGGTGATAGCAAATCTGGTGATGAGCATGTTGAATGCCGAAAGAGTCCGAAGATTGGACAGAGCGATTTAGTCAAGGCCCGTCTGAGGCAAGATTGACCGAGGACTTGACAAGAAGTTGGGTGATGGCATGGATGTTGACCGAGAGTTAGGCAGGAGCGCATCAATTGAGGCCAAATGGAAGCCGAAAATGGAAATGCCTCGAGTTCTTCAAAGATTCAGGTGAGCGACGACAGGAGCTGGTACAGTACATAATTACCTTGGTGGGAGCCGTAGGAGCCTAGAGAATGGATATTTCCTGGCTATACCTTGGCTTACCTACCTGAAAATGCGGAGAAGAATGTGGCGAGAGGAAAATGCTCGGAACTGTTATGCGAGTCAGCAGCTGCATCGTTGATAGATGGAATGGAAGTGAACTATGGAAATACCTTGCTGGCGGAGTTCGAGGGAGTCGTTCTAGCCTCCGCACCGGCGCTCATTGAGGCTGCGAAGTCGATTGATGGAGAGGTGTGGAGTTATATGCGCGAAGATGAGAATTAAAAAAGGCCGCGCGATAGTCGAGATGATTGATTGAGAGGACCGAATTCTGGACCATCCCCGCGCCATTCTGGTTAGGTGATGCAAATGGAAACCGAAGTGACGGGGAAAATATACCTACCACCTAGGTACCTGTCTTGGTAGGCTAGGTACTGTAGGCAGGCAGGTAGGTACCTAAGATACATGTACCTCCTGTACCCCTCCCTGTGGGAGGTCTTACGAGAGTGTCTTACGAATGAAAGCCTCACAGACCCCCAAGTAGGTACCTTCGCCTGTATGGAACCTCCCAGCCAAGCTTCAGCATAGTTAAAGTGCAATTACATGACATACAATTGCATCCCAAACGCGCTTGTCTGGTGGATGTCGAGAGTCCCGAGCCCTCGACGAATACCCTTGAATGCATCTGTTTCAGAGGTCCCGATCTCTTCGTGACTGGGCAACAAGATCGATAACATAGGTAGCGTGGCGATGCTTAGGCGCACTATCTAAAAGAGGTAAGAGTATTGTACGGGAATAGCCGCTCTCCACAGCGACTGAACAAGAACATGGATATTACACTAGAGACTTTAGGTTAGGTAGGTAGGTAGGTACCTGCTGTACGGATTACATATACGTGGACTAAGAAATCGCTCCCAAAGCTCTATTCTTCCTACATTTAACGCGAATCCCAAGCGGGTCCCGTTGGCTACCTTCGGTACCTAGGGTACCTACGCAGTCTGGAGCAAAAGGTTTCCCCCTACCAGGTACCAAAAAGCGCGCTAAAATGAGCACGGATACGCGTACCTACATATACACTGGATAGACGTCATAGGTACCTAGGTAGGTAGCTTCTCTCGGACCGTGGTTCATCCGGCGGGGTAGAATGATAGGTAGGTACCTAGGTACCTTAGGTACCTAGGTAGCATGATGGGAGGTGGCAGAAGACTGATTTCTTTTCTCTTCTCCCTCGCAGCCACCAACTTCTTTTTCCTCACCACCCCGCGTCAGACCGCGTTTCCGCATCATCTCACTCGTTCGTTAAAGATTAGCAATCGTTATTCCGTCTCCATCGACGTGCCGCTTCCTCTCGATTGTTCCCTCACGGTTTACTAGAGTGACCAGGCAGCCCATCATCTCCAGCAAAGAGATAATTGGTCCCCATCTTGCCCCTCTCCCCCAGCCCGTCCCAGCCAGAGAAGACATTGGCTAATGATACTTGTATACAATTAAACCACCATGGAACTATCCAATCCAGAAGAAGAATCCGACCAACCCCCGGCTACCCGAAAAGGCGCGGCCAAAATCTCGCGATTCCTCGACCTATACGGCAAGTGGCCGAGTGCTCTCGACGCAATGTTTGCGGACGATGACGGTATGAACAAGGAACCAGTCCTGGATTATATAACGGACCTTGAGACAAGACGCGGTATCTTTCTTGAGCTGCAGAGGTTGTTGAAATTGAGAGACGATTCCGCCGAGCTGAGGGCGATATCACTGGGCATTGTCATGGTTGCCCCGATCGACAAGCTGCAGTACCATCTTGACAAAATGAGGCGTGATGAGGGTAGCGCCAATTACAGTATCTTTACGATGCTGGATACGACAGCTATTAGTGCGATCAGGGCTTGTATGTCCTTTGCAACACAGCAGCCACCCTTTTGTTGGAATCTATCTACTAATTAACCTTCTTCCTGTTTACAGTTGTTGTCAAGGGCGGGCCTCCGCCACGAGGGTCAGTGCTGACCTCCCAGAACCTTGGTGCCACCGATGCCTCGTCGATTGGAGAAGGCCCTTCCAAAAGGCGACGTGGCTCCAATGGAGCGTCAAGAGCCAAGCCAAGCATTCCCGCCTTGTCCGCCATCATTCCAACCATTTCCGAGCGCCCCCCCCCTCCGCCACCCGAGACTCCCAAGAAGAGGCCGAGAGAGGATCCAACAGGCAACACTTCGTCGGCGATGGAAGTATTGCCTCACCTGGCATCTTCAAGCCAGCTGCCAAGCCTCAGTCCTGTTTCCAAGGACTCCAAGGCCTCGAGCCGAAAGCGCAAAGGTCCCAACCATGTAAGTAATTACCAGTCACCTCCCTGCCGCCAACAAACCATATATCTATTTTGAATCCAGTGCAAAATTCGAGACAGCAACCAATGTGTCCTCACTGGGACGCAGAATGCTGAAGCGGCGCATATTTTCCCACATTCGACCACCGACAAGCAGAACTTTCTCGCCCTTAAGGATATGCTTCGCATGTTTTGGGGCGAGGAGAAGGCCGCCATATGGTCCAAGTTGTTTGAAGATGAGGTTATCACCGAGTCACCGCAAAACCTAATCTGCCTCAACCGTCAACTACATTGGTGGTTCGACAATGCAATGCTGGCGCTTAAGCCACTGCGCAGGGAAACCAACTCGGTCACTGTCCAGTTTCACTGGCTCAAAGGAAACAATTTCAAGCCTCACATAGCCCTCAACAAATGGCGCCAACGCAACACTTTTGACGATGTTATGTCACGGGCAGGCCTCTTGGACAACCAGGCCTGGGGCCAAGCATTGTACTGCCGCATCAGCGGTCTGCCACTTGAGACTGGCCAGACCTTTGTCATCAGGGCAGAAAACCCAGACCATGTCCCGAGCTTTGAGCTCTTGGAGCTCTCGTGGGATCTCCTTCGCGTCGCTGCTATCTGCGGCGCTGCTGAGCCGACAGACGACTGGTTGAGGGACGATGATGATGATGGCGATGGTGTTGGTGTTCGGCCGGGCTTCTCGGGCTGGGAGGAGAACCAATACGGCCAGTGGCGGCGCTGGGCCGAGGAAGTGGAGCCGGGAAGCGAAGAAGAACCAGAACAACATAATCCCGAGGACAACGTCAAGCACCCTAGCTAGAAGCATGGGGACGCCTTGGGAGGACAGCAGGTTGATATGGGAGCCTCTTAACCTCTCTTTTTCTTTTCTGCTGAAGATCTTGTTCTTTGTGTTTGTTTTTCTTCGACAGCATTGGCTATCTGGAAGTAGCAGTTTTTAAAAATTGTAATTATATTAAGGAATACCCCAGATGACAGCATTGGCGTCAACAGAACTGCGGGAGACACAAGCTTTACAAGTTGCTTATCAAGACATTTCTGTCGTTTTCCACCATTCTACCTGGCAGCCGCTGGCTAAAGCTCTCCCCTGGTTCATTTCTCCCGCTGTCTGTGGCAAGATATGTTGCAATGTTGCCCCCATGGCACTGCTTGTCTACACTGCCCACCAACAACTCTATATTGCTGCCCATTGTCATTGCCCTTGCCTAGTGCCTCTACTGCCTGTCAAGTCTATTCTCCTGTTGCCTTGATGTGTTTCTTTTTGAGCTCCACTCAGTGTACGGCCGTTTTCCACTCCATGTACACTACGTCCATTATGATCCGTGCACGAAATCCAGTAATCTAATTGGTAGAGCTACAGCTGAGACAGGCCCCATGAAATTCTGCCAGCAACCTTCAGCGTGTGTAGCTCCAAGACAAACGACGACGACAATGATAATAACGATGATGACGATGGTGAAGCAAGGCTGGCTAATAAGGACTTTGCAGTTGGCAGGGCAATGTTAAAGAAGCTTCATATAGGCAGAGGCAGTATGGGCAGAGGCAGTATGGGCAGAGGCAGTATGGGCAGAGGCAGGAAGTATTGGCAGAGGGAAGTATTGGCAGAGGGAAGTATAGGAGGCAATACCTGCCTTGCCGCCCAAGCAGATTTGACCTCTTGCCCTAGCTAGCTACCTAGGGCGCTTCAATTTTCAAACTTCCTGTCGCTGGCACAAGGAGTGGTGATGTTTGATGGACTTCTGGAGGACGTTGTGGCTGAAATTAAAAAAGGCTGTACATGAAGGGGAAAACGGCCGTATACCGAGTGGAGCTCTTCTTTTTACCTCACTTTACTCGATCCCCAAATTGGCAATTGCCTTTGTAATGGAAGAGGCTGAGTGGATTGCGACTAACTAACTGCAACCATAATTGGTGTAATTTTCATGTGGAGGATGCAAGCAATGTAAAATCACTGGAGTAGGAGGCAAAGAGTTCCAACCGGGTCAGAACGGTAAGATTAGAAATTAATACATCAACACACACCCATGACGGAGATAACAGCCTCTCTCTCCATGCAGCCGGTGCATATTGCACGCCAACGGTTCCTCCTTCACCACATGTGGCCCATTCTCCTCTCTGTAACATGCACCCGAGTCTCCCACCAAATCTAGCCCAATCCCCAGCGCTGAGACGAGGGAGCGACATGACTCCTAGATCCCCTTGGAGTTGACGGTGGCGACGACGGTGTCAATGCGGTCAGCGCACTCCTCAAGGTGCTTAATGTTGTGGCGAAGCATGCCAAGGAGCCACGTGACGAGGCGTTGGGCAAAGACAGAGGCCTCAACGCGGGTGGCCAGTAGGGCGCCCATCTGTGTGATGTTGTTGGCAGCATTGATGAAGACGCTGTCCTCGGCTGCGGCAGCAAAGGTGGCAAACCGGCTAGCCTCTGCCTTGAGGATGTCAAGCTCGCCGTCATTAGGGCTGAGAGGGGTAGGCTTGTCAGACAAAGAGCGTTGGAGGCTGTTCAGAACCTCGTGGATCTGCCAGACGTCATAGCTCGCCTCTTGTAGTTGGCCAGATCGGCGGGACATGGCTTTGCATTGCGACTGGATATCGCGTCCCATCTCATGGTATAGGTCGGTTTAGTCCAGGAAGGAGATTCGCGAGCTGGACGAATTGTCTGCAAGGAAGGCGGGCTTCTTCACGCTGAAGGCGGTGGCGTCATCATGGGCGCCGAGGTCCTTAACAACATGTAGAAAGGGGAAGTCTTTAGGATTCGAGTTGATGACATCCTTGACCAGAGTCTTATCGAGGAGTCGCTGGACGACGAGGCCGATAACATCGCGCCACATAGCAAGGTTGATCTGGGCAGGAAGCTCAATCTTGGCAGCAAGGTAGAAGGAGATGGCGATAATGGCGACACCGCATTCGTATGAATCGGACTGCTTGGGAGTCCAAGGCCGTGTGTATGTGGATTCCACAGCCTGGGGAGTTGTGCTGCTACTGGATCCTCGGTGGCCGACTGCTGGGCCGCTGCTATCCTCTGTCGGAGCGCTGGACTTGGTGCGCCAAACACTTCCGCGAGCCGCAGAAGTACCCAAACCATCGGCAAACCTGTGAGCAAGGGCAGCTGCCTCTGACGCGTACTGTGAGTTTGGCCAAGAGTCAAAAATCTCGCCGACGAGACCACGCGAGCCGACCCTGAAATGGGCTAGGCACCAATGAGCTCGCGGGATATTGAGAGGGACGAGAATGGAGGTGTTCTGTCCGAGGACCTGGTGTAGCTTCTGCCAGTACTCGGGTGGGACCACCTTGTCCGTGGTGACAAGCAGGGGCTCGGCGACGGTGAAGTGGACTGGGCGCAGAGCAGCGACAAACTGCAGAGTGTGGACGATGACAGCGTCCGTCAGCCACTGACCAGGCTGCGGAGAAGCCGGGACAGGGACGGCGGCTGCGGTGGGGACGGGACGATCTGTGGTAGGCTGATTGGCGAGCTGGCTCGATGGCTGAGAGAAGGGAGAGCCAAGGGGCAAGGGTGTTGAGGACCTGGGGAGGGGGGCCGAAGCTGTGGTCTGATGGACTGTTCCCGGGTCGCGTACGCGCCGGGTCCTCGGGAGGAAAGGGGATCTAATCTGGTCCTCCTTGCCCTCTATCATTGGGAGATGCGGGCCCTTCTGCTTCTTGTGCGTGCGCTTTTCGACCTGTCTGTCTGCCGGTCCCCTGTTGTCGGCAATTATTTCATCGGCTGAGGAAAAGTTGGGCGCCATAGGAAATAGGCTGGTACGTCACTCCGTACCTAGTAGCCGGACAAACTGTGGCCCCTCATAGACAAACTTACCCTCAGCGGTGCTAAACCCAATGCTAACTGATTCATGTTCTAAACCTATGGTTGCCCAGGGCCGAAAAGGGTCTCGGATTGTTCAGAGCGAGGCGGTCACCAAGGGAGCTCTCAGTTTCGCTGACGGTCAAGCAAAGGTCACGTGGTAAGGACGTTTGAACCAATGAGATCTGCAGCTCTCGGTCTGAGCACCAATGAGGTCAGTTTGAGAGCCAATGGCAGCCAAGGTACCTCATTCCGCTTTGTAGGTATTTCAAGTCCTCCTCGCAGAGCCGCAAATGCCCACCACTTCAGCAGTCGCTATCAGCGGGCTAAAGCATCTGTAGGCCGGCATACATTATTATGTTGCATATCGCGTGAGTTGCCTTCTCCAACATCAGTCCGCCTCACCCCCTGTTAGTGGCCAGGCTCTGTATCAAGAATTATGGGTCGGAGACGTCCGCCAGTTGACCCACTCAAGAACCAAAGCTGGGTCTAATTACAATGGCAGTGAAATGAAGTCTCCTCACATAACCGAGAGAGGATTGAAGAAACGCGGGACCTCGGGTGCTCAAGAACTGTCAGAAGACCGTTGACAACAACCCCGCACTTGGATTTTCCTTCTTCCATTCCATTTCTGTACGATTCGGTTATAAACGTACGACAACTAAGAGGCCTGCTCTTTTTCGCCGACCTCCACCTGGCTCTCGCCGAGGACATTAAGGCAATGGCAGCCGATACTTGCCTGGAAGAGACACACTAGATAATGCAGTTAGGTAGGTATGTACACATGTCCCGATGCTTGGTTCCACAGCATTGCCACGGTAAGCGAATCCCTTCCGGTCTGGTGGCGCCCTCTCTTGTCATCCTACTTTGTCCTAACATCCAAAGCCCACAGGCCACAGTGGGGAATTCAAAGATAACAGAATTCACACAAACTGGCAAGACATGTGTCCAATAAAAGTTATCTAGAAGGACTATAGGTAATACCCTAGACTCTGACAAGGATTCTCCCAATCAGTGATGCACAAGAAAGCGGTTGACAAAATGTGCCAACAGGAGCTAGATCGCGGCCCGGCTGTTCCGTTTCAACTCGAAATCTCATGTACTGCTTCCCCTCTGCTCTTCTCCTCAATCTCGTTAAACTTTCGCACGACCTGCACCGTAGCGTAGTAGCTAAACGGCAGCGCGATGAACCAAAGAGCCATGTTGATGCTCGCCGTGATAATCAGCGCCGTGGGAACGGCCTGGACGCCAAACCCGACCGCAACGCCTGCCGTCTCAATACCCCTGAGTAGCGAGCTGTACCGGATCTGGTCCCCAGGTGAGTCGGACAGGTTTCCGATGCACCAGTAGATGTAGTTCTCCACGGTTCCGAGGCTAATCCGCTCGAACATGTACAGTCCAAAACCTCGCCCAAACGTCCGCTGATCCGCCCAGTCCAGCACAGGCAGCGTGTGGCGGTACTCGTTCTGGATGATGACGGCCCATATCCACGTGGCACTATTGAGTGCGGCGATAAGGATAAACGTAACTACGGCGCGCCTCTGCCGGCTCTTGACCCAGGGGAGGTCAACCAGCATGCCGCTCAGCCAGGTTGCCAGGGTGCCGACGATGGCAGACATGAAGCTTCCGAGGGCGCGGGACCGCACCGTGAAATACGTCGCCAAGTAGGTGCCTGGGTACGCCTGCATCCAGCCAAAATACCAGAACAGCGGGATCAGCAGAAGGATGGACCGGCTCGTGGCGAGGCGCCACATCTCGCGCAGCTCGGTGCGCCAGTCGATGCCCCTCGGTGCCTCGATGCGGGTGCCGTCGTCGCGGCGGACCTTCTCCGGGTTGGACAGGAGGAGGCCGAAGAAGAGGCCGAGACACTGGATGGCGATGAAGCCGAGGTAGGTCTGGTAGCCGACTTTTCCCTTGTGGGCGACGCTGTGGTTGAGGCCGAGCGAGATGGCTCCCCCGATGATGTTACCGAAGTTGCGGAATGTGAACCACGTGGCGATGTACCGGCCGCGCTTGTGCTGCTCCGGGTAGCCCGTCGAGATGGCGCCCTCGACGCTCCAGAAGAAGCCCGCGCTGATGCCGCAGGCCACGGCGCCGACGTAGACGAACCAGATGTTGCCGAACCGGTTGTTGGTGTACAGCCCCGCGGCGTACAGCGGGTAGCCGAGAGAGCCCAGCGCGAGGGTCCATCGGAAGCCGATGACGTTCGTCAGCCACGGTCCTGCAAAGCACGTCGCCGTCATGAACGCGTACAGCAGCGCGTTGGCGGCGTTGACCAGGTCCGGACTCTGCGAGCCGCCGACGCCGAGGCCGTTCATGGCGCTCCATATTCCCGGAGCACAGAAGGCGCAGATGCCGACGACGAGGATCTGGAAGAGCGTGGATCGGAAGAAGGGGATCCGGTCCCACGGCCGCTTCGACAAATTGGGCGCTGCCTCGACTGGGGGTGATTCGAGGCCCTTCAAGGCTTTGTCCTCCTGTTTGGATGTGCGCAAGGTTGACATGGCCACGGTTAGACCGGCTGTCAAATAATCGGTTGTTTGGGGTCAGGTGTATAAGGACGCCCCTGGGAAAACGAGGCGATTCACAAGTTTTTTATAAACGGATAACTGCGCCAAGCTTTCTCTGTCTAATATACAGAACCTGGCACTCTTTCCATGTTTCGGTACCGGTCTGTCGGAATTATTTACCCTGCTCGATTCTATATCTTCGGGGGTGGAGCACGCAAGACGGTGCAGGATGGCGAGATACAAGACCTCTTATCGCATGATTACAAAGCGTTATTGTAGCCTGCATATTCTCCTCGTCGCGTTCGTCGCGTTAAGCCCTGTCTCGTTAGACTGGCTTGATGAAGGAATCTAGAGGTGGAAAGCCACCGGCATGGATGCCGTTCCGCAACGATAAGCGACGCCAGACTCCCGGGTTTAACGAGGGGGGTTGACATGTTCGTTGCAACCTCCAACATATTGCGTGATTTTAGGTCAGAATGGACCATTTTCTGCCATCGTTAGACGCGATATGCGGAGTCCTATACCGGAGGCAACTCGGATTGATAGCTTGATAGTTAAGTACATATAGGATAGGATGCATCCCTTGCCCGAGGTAAACCTGGTGGTTCCAAGATACCTTGACAGACTCTCGAAAGATGGCGACTTCCCTAGACCATACCACGGCCGCCCCGCTCAAGCTTGATGGGTCTTCCACAGCTTCGATTTCCTTCGAGCCGTTTGACCTGCCGCCGAGCAATCAGCGGCTCCTCGGCGCGCCCCATCCGGAAGGAACCGTGAGCCCACTCGCACTCCGCCCATCCACCCACGAGGGCGTTGATATCGACCTCGACGCCGCCATCGAGTCGATAAAGCACCTCCAGGCACAGGGCGGGATCCTCACTCAGAAACTCGCCCAGCACGGGACACTCCTCTTCCGGGGTCTCCCCATCCGCAACGCCTCCGACTTCAGCCGGTTCGCCCACGCCTTCGGCTACCGACCCCACGAGATCATCGGCATCGTCGTCAACCGCCCCGAGCTAGCACCCAACGTCGCCCCCGCCAACGAGGCCCCCAAGGAGGTCCTCATCTACAGCCACAACGAGTCCCCCCAGGTGCCGCACGCGCCCGAGTACATCTTCTTCTACGGCCACCGCGTCCCCTCCGCGGGCGGCGAGAGCCCCATCTCGTCGTCGCTCGAGCTCTTCCGCCTGGTGCAGGAGGCCCTGCCCGAGTTCGTCGACGCCCTGGCCGACAAGGGCGTCCGCAGCCAGGTCGTGTACAAGCCGGAGCGCCAGTACGCCGGCGGGTCGACGATCCTACAGGCGTTCGGCAAGGAGGTGGTGGACGGCGTCGACGACGAGGCGACGCGGCGGCGCAAGATGGAGGCGCAGATTGCGCGGTATGGGCGCGGGAAGTACACGTCGTGGGAGTGGACCGACGATGGTGGGCTGGTGGTGACGCATCTCCTGCCGGCGATCCGGACGCAGGTCGGGTCGGGATTGCCGACTTTGTTTACGGGGCTGGCGGCGTACTACCGGAATGCGAAAATTAATGGCGGGGCGAGGGCGGGTGTGACACGGATTCTGTACGGTGATGGTACGCCTATCCCGGAGGAGTATCTCGAGCGACTGGCTGAGATTACGGATGGGATACGAGTGCTTCATAAGTGGGAGCGTGGGGACGTGCTGGTTTACGACAACGTCATTGCTCAGCACGGCCGGCAGCCGTGGGAGGGCGAGCAGGAGGACCGGGTTATTCTGGCTAGCCTGTTTGACGGTGAGATTCCTGGAGCGTATGGGAATCATGACTGGGCGCAGGTTGTGCAGGCTCTGCCTTAGCGGTTTCTTTTGAGGGCTTGTTGTATGTTTGTGTTTCGTTGTGTGGTTATTCGTGTATTTGTCTCTTCTTTACAGGCTATGCCATATTGACACCAGTATAAAATACGAGTCTTGTCATGAAATGTTTTTAATACATATCGAGAATAAACATATTATCAATTACAATTCCCTCTTCTCTTCCTGCTGTCGTAACTGCGCCTTGAGTTCTTGTTGGTAAAGGACCTGCTTCGTATTTCTCTCGGCCTTCTTGTCCCCCTCTGCAATCAAAGCTTCAATGTCTTTTTTTAGATCCTCGTCTGTCGGTGCCTGCTCGCCTGGTGCAGCCCAGTCATGCGGGACGTACGCCCAGTCCATTGACGAAAAGATGGGTTTCCATTCCTTGTTCCCTACCAGCCTGGAATATGAAACTCGCCGGCCGGCGGACACGGTCCCGTCGTCGAACAACGTGCCCCAAGCATTCCTGGCACCAACGTCGGATCTAGAAACCGGCACCCAGGCCACAGGTTGGGGTGGGTGGAGCTTGAGGTAGGATACCCTATGGTCACGCTTCCTGCGCCATTTCGTGTAGATACTCGTTGCTTCCACCTCCTGTTCGGGAGACAGGGTAAGTTTGAAATGGCCACTGGCTGAATCAGACATCGACGTTTGTTGGGCGGCGTCCAGGTGTTTGCCTCCTCCTCCCAGGGCCCGTCCTTGAATTATTGGGTTCAAGAACATGGTATCACTAGCAGACTCCCAGCGTTCAGGCCTGTCTGATGTGAGTTCAAGAGCATGCCAATGCTTGTGAAGTGCCTTGATACGGTCCCCGATAAAGAATGGCTCGTTCGCAATTGGACCCCTGCGGTTTGCTGCTGCCATGATCGTTTTCCCGATATTCGTCTCTTCGTACACTCGCCAGGAGATGTCGGTGCGAGCCTCTAGACTGCGCAACAGGTCCGAATACAGCTGATAATCGTCTTCAGGCAACGTGGTTGGTATTAGATCACCCAGTACGTGCTTGATATATATGACTAGAAGAGGATTAGCAAGGTTTGGTCGGGGCAGGGTCTTCACAACACTAGACTTACGATCCCGAAGAACCCTGTCCTGAGTAGGGAGTAGGTCGCGGTGGGGGTTGAACCGAGCAAGATCGGCTGTCGTCGCCGCGGGCATTGTGTCGGACGCCGTTTGAACAGAATCATACGCCCCAATGCCGGCATCCATTGTCATAGTTATTACCATCCAGCCAATCACAGCTCGACTTAGATATCGAAATGCTTTGGTACCAACAAGAGGTGCGAGGCGGCTGCTGTTCTCGACCTCATCTTCGTCGAGTTCCCCCAATTCTCGGAGATCCTTCTTGTATTCCCTCTCGGCAGTCTCATGCGGCTCGACTGCATATTTGTCGAGTATCTGGAAGCAAAGTCCCAATGCAGTGTCCAAGAGCCACCAGATGAGAAGCACGCGATTGAGTTGCAATAGCAAGTTGGACCGCAATGCTTGCCCAAGTAGTCTGTACGGACTAGGGTCATTGAAGTGCTCCCTCATGTGGCGGTCCAAGGGGTCGATCACTAGGTATAGTTCGAGGAAGTCGTCTACAACCCGCAGTAGCAAGACAAGGACGACCCATAAGTACCTCACATCGCCAATCGTCAAGTATGCTGTGCTTCCGGTGACGCGTCCGATTAGGCCATCGTCATCAAGCGTTTTGCGAATAGCGCGGAGGCCCCTGAAGAGAGAATAACGTTGGGATATTGCATCCATGTTTTGTGGACGTGGAACTCGTGTTTCCTCCATCCCGGATGGTGGCCAAATATTTAGAAGAAGACAACATTCCGCAAGTCCGCAGGAAAATTGCAGGCTCGAGATTGAATCCTTCGGGGCATCATCAATCCGGACTCGCCGCCTCTGTGGGCCAATAGGAGATGGCTCCCGGTATCCACCTCTCCACCTGCGTTAGGACCGATCCACATCAAGCCATGCAACGTTCTTGGCAGCATCAACTGTGCATGCATGTCCACAACAGTAACGCATAAATTACTGGTTAGGTTTTGGACCGCAAAATTTGAGTGATATATTTATTCTCACCAAATTAGACACGCCCTCCCTCATTATAGCGTTAGCAACTAGTTACAACGTACTACTCTGTTCTCCCCCCTCAGACAGGCGGTAGGTTCGATCCCTATCATGTCTTCGAGTACGCCTCCAAGCCCATATTCTGGGGCATTGACATTCTCTTTGCTGTCCAGTGTATTGCGACAATGTCGGTCACTCCCCGGAACAAGAAGGATGGGGAAAAAGCGGACTTGAAAAACACCACACGGCGCTTTACCCTCTGGCTCGTCCCGCACCTTACCGCGTCTTCGTGATAAGGTGAGGGACGATCCCACAGCATCTACTATGGGAACTATCGCCAGGAGCCGCAGCAGGTCTAGAAGATCTGGGACAAGGATAACTTCTTCAGATGGTCCCAAGGTTTTGGATTCCCGCAGCGAAAGGGAACGACCGAGGCAAGCCCACGCATCATGAATATGACTGCGGCTGAGAAAGTCGCGGTAGAGTATCTCGGGGCCCTTGAAGCTATTGCCGGTCTTGGGGACAGAGGGTGCCTCAGATATCCCTCTCTCATGACAGCAAGCCATTATCATGTGAGAAAGGGAAGATATAACATATTACAGGAAGCCCAACATAAGAAAGCAGATAACGAAGAGGAGATACAATTACATCCAAGACACAGAAACACCATCATTTGGGAACTCCCCGTCGTCTGACGCTCGAGTCCCAAAGCCCAATCACCGCCGCAACCAAAAACACCAAGACGGTTAGAGGAATCGTGATCACCCAGTACACCCAAAACCTCTCCTGAACGACCACCGGTTGGTCCCACCGCAGAGAAGGGATCGAAAAGAGGGCAGCCACAGTAGTAGCCGGCAGCAACGCCATCGTCACGATGGCAATCGTCTTCATGATAGAGCTGTCCTTCTTCGTCGCCAGGGCGATGTCTCTCATAGTCTCGCTATCCTCCTTTGTTGCCGCCGCGATTATCCTCATTATCGTGCTGTCTTCCTTGCTGGCACGGGCAAGTTCGGTGCTCGCGTTTGCCAGGGTTATGTTGGCCATCGCGTCTTCGTGTGTGAGCAGCGCGAATATCTTTGGCGCAAGGAGTTAGCGTGGAGAGGATGGGGGGAAATCCGGCATAAGAACGCGGACTGCTATCTCACTCACCACGGACGATTGGTTGCGAGCTCGATCTTCCAGGTACTTGACAGCGTCGGTGAGTAACCGCGATCTCTTGCTCAGGAGATGGATTTCGTGGACGAGGTCCTTGCGGGTTTGGTCGGGATAGTTCAAGGTCAGAGCCGTGGAAGTCGTGTTGTGTTCGTCCGGGTCTGTGATGAACGACAGCAATTCGTCGATAACCCCGGAGTTCCGAATGGCGTTGGCGTTTCTGACCGAGTGTCTCCCGACCTCGCGTGACCACTCGATCAGTTTGTTGATGTCGAACCGGACCGGTTGGGAGGCACGTGCTGATTGACCCTGCACCTCTGCCTGTGCCTGTGCGTCATCTATTTGCAGGCTGTCGAAGTGGAAGAACCCATGGCCCGTTTGTCGTTCAATGAAGGTCAGCGTATTGTGTTGTTCACGAAGCCGACGCCCCTTGCGGTACAGGATCTGCGTCGCGATGGTCAAATTGAGTAGGACCGGGTAAGGCGTGCCCGGTGAATGGGCCGCCATGATGTCGAGAAATTGACTGTAGAGCTCGTCCGCCACCGGTTGATCATCGCTCCTGACGAAGAGCAACACCTTCGTGGTGCTGTGCTGGCCCCTGGATTCGATGGTCCATACAAACTTGTATGACATGGTGCCGACAAATAATGTAGAGATACGAGTTTGGGCGTCCTCCCCCACGAAGTGGAAACCGTAGGAATCCTGCGCGATCAGCTGCTGAACCCATGGGTCCACGCGCATCTCGTCCAAGAGTCCTGTGAAGACGTGTTTTGATATCTGCAGTGGAGCGCCACGCTTATCTGAATATCGTGGTATCCGCACCAACCTGAATCGGTTTCCCTCGACCTGTTCATTGTCTTCTTTCAAACATCCATCCCGTAGAAACTCACACAAATCTTCCATTGGAACCGTCGTGCGGTGGGACAAGACTTCTCTGTTGTCAACCGATAGGAGTTGAACGACATTGTATGCTTCCAATGGTTGCTTGAAACATTGGTCTTTCTCGAACGAGCGCTGGGCGAGTTTGCGCAGTCCCTCCATTTCCGTGCTTGATTCTGGAGACTTTGGAATTAAGTGAGACGAAGCTCGACTGAGCTGGAATGTGGCCAGCATTTATCCGCCAAGGCTCCCATCAAGGCATATAATCGGGCGCACAGGTGGTGTCTTTGCTTGGTGGCTGCATCATGCAGTCGATATTATTCAGCTGAACTGAGGCACTGGACTTGGCAAGCCACTCTTTAAATTCCATTTGTCATTCTAATTCGTCTACTCAAGCCATCGGCCTCCAGCCCCTCGCCCACTATTCCGTTTCAGCCGTTGTGAGGCTGCAAAGTCGCTGCTGCCCAGAGTTGACAGGTCTGCTGCAGAGGCAACTGTCCGGGCATCTGAAGCAGTTGACGATAATGACCTCCAACTATAATGCCAATTTCGGAGGCGAGAGCCGGGTTTTGCGATGAAGATTAGTTGTCACTGGAGTCAAAAAGATCGATCCTGCGACGTTAAATCGCAAATGCCTCTGAGCTTGCTTTACAGCTGCACCAACGCCATCATCCCAAGGGAGAGGATCTTCACCAACCAGCCAATGACGAAGCCCGCGGCAGATACGAAAATCACACCTTGGGTAGCCATGTAGGGCGTACGCATGAGGTGTACAGCCCAGATGACAATGACAGTCGTGCCCGGCTCATCTACGGATAATCCATACGACGAGATTGGCTTTCTTAAACGGCAGTAGGACTAGCATGTAGCTTCTAGTTAATCATACTTTGGTCTTCTGAGTAAAGCCCTGACACTGCTGCTTATCAAACAAGGTTCAAGGGTATCGATAAAATCATTTTTCGTATGTGGTTGGATTAATTACAAGGAGATGTGCCACTGATCCATTCAATGATCCCAAGGTGGCTCTGACCCTTCCGAAGGAGACGGACCTTGGGATAACAACACCGAGACTAGGTAGTGGCTCCGACACAAGCAAGGCAGTCCGTCCATCTACATCCCTCAACTTGTTCATGGGCACAGCCAGCCGCTCTTGTTCTCGAACCTCAGTCTCGACCGCAAAAAGCAGCTAGCCCACCGCTGTCATCCAGTTATTCAACGCTTCCTCCGTCTCGCCCGTCATTGAGTCCTACTCTTGGGACCAGGCGACTGTTATTCTTGGGTTAGGGGTACGATGGGAAGTGGTTGGTTGAGGTGGGATAACTTCCCAGAGAAGGGAGTATTTCAGAGTCACTGAGTAGCGCGAGACTCAGTTTTGCGACAACTAAGAGCCTGCAACACGGCGATAAGCTGTTGCTCGAGGGGGTTGCACCCTCGACCAAGGGCGGCTTCTCGTCATCGCCACGCAATCTGCCAATCAAATCGCGCAATCAATACAATTCTGGTTCGGCCTGACTTGATGTCAAACCAAATCTCAGGCAGCCACAGAGTTTGCCTTCTCGAATGTGGTCATTTGAGGCACCATGGCCTCTCTCGCACTGATCCGCCGCCTCGAAGAGGCGTTTTTCGGCGCCTGGCCGGCCTTGGCCCAGGTATTCGACGACGGCTGGGTGCTGCAATTTGCCGACGGCTACACCAAGCGGGCGAACTCGATCAACCCCACCTATCCAGCCCTGGACGACGCCGAGGTCAAGATTGACCGCGCCGAGGGCTGGTACCGCGCCCGCGGCCTGCCACCTATCTTCCGCATCACACCTCTCGCTGACTAGAGCGATCTCAACCAGCGTCTAGAGGCGCGCGGCTATCAGGCGACCAATGTCGCCCGGGCGCTCTATCTCTCCGCGCTCACGGCCGAAGCTCCTTCTTTGCCGGCGAGCGTCACTCTTAGGCTCGATGCTAGCCCGCATGACGGCTGGCTCGAAGCTTCTCTGGCCATGACGCCGCTTGATCCCAGCCGCGCGGCGACGCTCAGACGCATGCTTGACGGGATCGTGCCAGTGGCGTGCTTCGGCTGGCTCTCCGAGAATGGCCAGCCGCTCGCCGCCGCCTTCGCGGTTGTACAGGGCCCTTTGATGAGCACCTACCATGCAGTGACGGTGCCGGCTGCCCGTCGGCGTGGGCTGATGCGGGCGCTGCTGGGTCGGTTGATCGCCTGGGCGATGGAAGAGGGTGCGACGGCTGGGGGGCTGTTTGTAGTGGCCAACAACGAGGCGGCGGGAGCGCTCTACCAGAGACTGGGGTACGAGGAGCTCTATCGCTACCACTATCGTGTGGCGCCGGCCTAGTAAGCCCCTATCCTGCACTGTCAAGGTATAGCACATGTCGAGCCAGGGTTAGCCCGTTGCCGACTCTGCTTCTTCCTCTGAGGGAACGTGCATCATTCGCCGCTCGGGCTCCGAGCCTATACTAGAATTGTAGCTAGACGCGGGAATGCAAACTGCGAACGATGGCTCCTCCATATGGATTGTGGTTTGCGAAGGATTCGAAAGTGCCCGTTAATTCCCCGTTGTGCCTTAGCGGTAGGCAAGGTGGGGTGGATCTGCATACCATAATTCGAAAGCCTTTCCCAAACGCGCCGTTGTCGCCCCCGTGCCATAAGGTGATATAGTTGTTCCCCTTGTATGCCTGGACCTTAACATCCATGGCCTGTCCCCATCGAGTATCCATCCACTCCACGTTGCCTCCCCGGTCCAACACGACCGGCCCGGGGGTCGGGTCGGAAGAGCCTCGGGGGCAGATGAAGATGTACCCATTGTCGCATCTCGGGTCTGCCCTGAGGATATTCGTCCACGGGGAGCAGCCCCGAATAACTCGCATTGCTTCTGGGAATATGCGCTGTACACACCCTAGTTTCACCAGTATGAGCTGTCAGGGCTGACAGATGGCTCGGAGGAGGAAACAGAGGTATATGCCACAGTATCGTAGCAGCATAACAATGCATTTGACTAGCAGCAGCGATGCCATTAGAAACAATGCCGTCGAACGGGAAAAAACACCGGCAGCTACGGGCCACCCCTATTACCCCTTTTCGGTGTGGAACTTGATGGTTTTTCTCCAAAGAAAGACAGGGGGAAAAAGGTAAAAAAATAGAAAAGAAGAGGGAACATAAGAGAATGAAACGTGATCTGCAAGAAACCCATGATCTGCAAGGAATCCAGACTATGTCGTTGATTCTGGAGTCAAGGAGTCCACGTTTGCATACTCGAAGATTGTAAGAGTGGTGATGATCTATCCCTGCCGTCGTGAGTGACATGTTGCACATGATTAATATACATAGGTCGCGCCTTTGGCCCCATTTTAATGCTCTGCCGTCAAATCAGGCCTCTTTACTTTTCCCGACCGGGGTCATGTGGACGTTCAAGGGGATTCTGTCCCAAAGAGTAAACGACTTCTGTCTCTCAATCCAAGCATCGCTGCCATCCCCCAGCTTCATGTCGAAGTCGTAGATAATGCGTGCGAGGATCAGTCGCATCTCGGCATATGCAAGACTTCCGGGTCGTGGTTAGCATACCATGTTAAAGCAAAGGTGCCACGGGGAGGAGGGGGATCATACTTCCGCCCGATGCAATTTCTTGGGCCAACACTGAATGCCTGCAGAGATTCCAGTTTGTTTCCTTGCTCTCTTGCTTCCTCGGGACTAGCTAGAAACCGGTCGGGTTGGAATTTCCACGGGTCTGCCCAGTTGTCGCTGCTATGATTTGCCGACCAGTGTTGGACCTCGACAAAGGTCTGATGGTGTGGCGTAGCCATATTAGTTGTGTGTCGCATAAATATCCAAGAGCAGTTTGATGGTCACTTACTCCGCCTGGGACATAGCTACCGGCAATTTCTTCTCCGCCCTGTGGTACTTGTCGCACCAAGCCCGCGGTAACAGGAGGGTAGAGTCGCAGGGACTCGTTCAGTACGGCAAGCATGTACGACAGTTTGCTGACCGAATTTATGTTAATCTCGTCGGGACTCTTGAATGTCGACCGGACTTCGTGGTTGAGCTTCTCGAGGATATCTGGATGGGTGAGCAGGAAATAAGTTGCCCCGGATAGGGTTGTGGCCGTTGTCTCGGACCCGGCCAGAACAAGAATAAAGGCATTTGAAGCGAGCTTCTGGAACGATAGGTCCTAATGTAGTCGTCAGCATGAGGAATAGGCTTCAACTCGAGTTGGTGAAGAAGAAAGCTCGGGTCGATGAAGAAGGGAGTTCGGTGCACTTACCCACTCCTCTCGTCTCTTCACAAGACCCTCAAATAGGTCGTCTTGCCCCTCTTCCATGCTCAGTCGAGAAGTCAGCATGTCATCCGTGTACTGCCGCATCTCTTTAATGGGACCCAGGCTAGTGAATTGAAACATGAGTTGCACCAGGATGCCGAGGCCGATGTAGTCCATAGCCACGAGAATGGCACCAACCCTGATGCCCCGCATGATGAACACGATCCAGGGGTGATACTTGGTAGACTTGAGCGAGCCAAAGGCCTGCCCAAACACGAGGTTGCCGACAATGTCAAAGGTCGTCCAATTGTACCACTCCTCCATGTTTAACACCCTCTTGCCGTTGTCGCACTCCTCGTGCAGCCTCTGCACTAGAAGGTCGACGTACTCGACAATCATGCTCTCCTGCTGGCGCATCGAGCTGTCGGAGAAGCCGTGGGCCAAAGCTCGGCGCACCCTCCCGTGTTCCTCGCGGTCGGCGTTGAGGATAGAGGTCGGCACGGCGCGAATCGTCCTCGAGAAGACGTCGGTCTTGGACATCTCGGGTCCGCCCCCCACTCGGTGTCCATAGATATCCTTGAAGGCCTGTGGATCCGTAAAGGAGAGATGGTTTGGGCCGATGCGGACGATGGGCCCGTATTCCTCGTGCAATCGTTGGGTGTAGAAGGCCTGGTCGCCGTAGGCATGCCGGAACGCCCAGGGGAGGCTCGATGCTCGATACAGAAGTGGGCCGGGGAACTTTCGGAGTGGGTGGAAGAAGAGGTTGTACACGATGGTTGCGAGCTGCCATGAGGCTATCTACAACGACCGACTCGCGTTAGCTTGAGGGTTCCAACATCACATGTAGGGACACAATTGGGGGAACTGCACCAAGCTGAGAGCAATTGCGGTGGATTGCCGCGCATTGAATGCGAGCAATCCTGGTAGATGCTCAAGCATGGTCACAGTGGTCAATGCAAAAGAGGTCAGCGACAGTAGAAGGGAAGCTGATGATGGCTGGAACTTGAGGATGTGGGGTAGTGAAAATGGAACACTTGTATGATCTAGTGTATATGTAATCCTGTAGAAATGATTGAAGGGCAGAGGGCGGGGAGACCCGGAAAGATTTAATTAACAGTGCAATGACACAGCCTTGATGCACCTACATTAGGCAAAGATTGCGTCTGGCGCGCGGAAGCGGTTCAGCTGAAGCGACGTCGCATTGCATTAACCCGCGCCTCAAAATTCTTGACTCATCGAGCGCCCAGCCCGACCCTGACCGGCATCGACCGGCATAACCCGCGTCCCCGTGCGACGGTGCCGGTTTTTTTTCTTGTGATGCATCGTATCGGGTCAGCCTCATTTTGATGGCAATAAGTCACCCCCGGTGGCGCTGAGGACATTGAGTATCATACCCTTGACTACCGTGAAGTGGAAGGCGATCTTGCCCATGATATAATAACACAAGATGCACCTGCAAGCCAAATAGTTACAGCTTAATTACTTATCCGGGCTGGCAGAAATTGGACCATGTCAGATGAGTTCCGAGACCAGTAGTTTCAGGGAGGAGTGCCAAGCATCCGTCCCTGCTTTTTCTGGTAACTCTGTACGCCACTTATAAGGAACTCCTCCAAGGCCGACGCGGACATGGGTCCATCTGACACAGATACCAGATCCGGAAGAGCTCGACAAGATCGATCATAATGCTCTCATCGAGAAATCCACCCACCCCTCCCTGGAGAGTCTGGTAATACCCCCCAATCTACGACTCGCTAGTGGCAGGGTAGTTCTCATCCTCGGTAGCGGTGAGCCCAGTTGGCACAGTATGTTCAGGAAAGGTCGAGCTCCTGCTTGGGAGGGGGGCGAATGACTTCATTGGCTCTTCCGACGATACCCTGGATGTGACCCGTGAGGAGAAGGAGTCATCACCCGAGGCAAAATAGAGGTTGTGGGTGACATTGGATCACATACCTCGCTTCATCATCTCCATGGATGAAGATCGATGGCCCTAGAATAAAGCCGCCCCAGCAGTAGGACAGTGCCTTAGAAACTTTCGCTGCTGGGTCGTGGAGGGGGACGTGGTGGATTTTGAAGGTACATGAGAGAGCTGCAGATGACAATGATAATATGAACCCCGGGAGAAGAAATCATTTTACTGTGCAAGCAAACGTCAGGAGTCTAACATGATAGTTACGATACTTCACATGTCACGTAGACCGTTTAAGCAGAGGCAAACAATTTATTTGTCTCTTTGTACTAGCTTAAACTGCCCTTCCATCGATGGCAACCTCGAAAGCCCCCTAACCCTCAATGGACCGCAGGCACTTAATCCTGCGTCCAGGGAAAGCAGTGTTAAGGTTGACACAGCCCTCAGGCGAGGTACCGAGCCTGTCGCCGTTACATGAACCACCATTGCTAGTCTTGCCACTGTACGCCAAGAACCATCTGCGCACGCCATCGGGACGAGCTCCGTGAGTGACGTAGACCGAGTTGCTTGTGTCGTCCATAGTCACGTCGCGGAGTTCGAAGCTGTTATGGCCGTAGTTGAGATTGGAGCTGGATCAACGAGTGTTAATATGTCTAACCTTGTAGTTTGCAACGCAAACAGGGAATAGGAGGGATTAGTTACTGACCATTGAGTGTCTTTGTACTCATTAGCCTTCGGGCGGGTAGCGGCCGAGACAGCGCTGATGGCCGTCATGGCGGTGAGGAGGGTCTTGATAGAGAGCTGCATGGTGGATTTTGTGGATGGTGGATGGATGATGGATATGGTAGCAAATTGCGGGCTTCGTTGAGAGAGCTTGGTGAGAGATGTGTGCTTGAGAATGTGTGTGCTGGTGAAGAAGAAAAGAATCTTAACTTGGGCTTCTGGCCATATTTGAACTTCCACGACTTTCACTACCTCGCCACTGAGGGATCATTGAGGGATCTTTCGTTCTGAGGCCAGACGACACTCAAAGTAAACAGTAGCATAGAAAATTTCAAGCTGACCGCATGTCAAGCAACGCTGAACATACCACGTCGTATGTAAGCACTAATACTTGGTTATTCCAACCCACTGCGAGCAACGATGGTAGCAACCAGCGGTCTAGGACGCCATTGCCAGGTCAGAAATGCCCCTGGATTGCCTTAGACAACGTTGTAGCCAAATCTTTAATTCGGCTGCCTGGTAGGTAAGTGAAGCCATTTACTTCGGTTCGGCCGCTGCCAAGTAGTAGCTTAGTCTGGCGTTGCATATTTCGGCCGCCGCTAGTGCCTCAGAGATCCGCTAACGGCTCATCCAGATCTGATACCCGCTGCAGGCGCGGGTAAATCTTATTGCAGTGGAGCCTCTTTACCTCTTCAGGCTGGCACCGCCTTCGATCCACAAAGTTCCAGGCTCTCCGGTAGTTGATGGTGATCTCGATATCAAGCCAACAGAATTGCCCGGAGTTGTCACGCAGTCATACAACAGCAAGCCGGCCAGTTGCTGATCAGAGCAGACAACCTCCTTTCGGACTTTTTCTGAACTCTTAATCCAATACTAGTGATCCCGGTCTACGCCCACAAGCAGCAAAGACATGCAAGTCGAGTGTGCTCTGAGTGGCTACACCACATTCGAGCGGAGCAGACTAGCTGACCCACCGCGAATGTAAATATCTGTCGATGGTAGCGTCTCGGCTGCGCCATTAATGGCATGAGCGGTCAGCGACAATGTGGGATCATCCCGCTTCAATCTGTCTGGTCCTTCTGAGGGTGCGACAAAGTCCCTGCCACGACACATGTCTGCAATCTACGTGTCTTGCGTAACTGATTTGATTGGATACGGTTCTGCATGTTGATAATTTCTGGTCATATTTGGTCAGAAGTGACGAACTTGACGTTACTCTCCCGGCATGAACGACTAGTTTCGAGCATACTGTCTTTCTTTTTTTGAGCAGCCGATACCGTACATACGGCAATTAAGGGCTTCTTCGGGGATTGTGACTCAGGAGCAGTCGGACTCTAGGATGCTATGTGCAATCTCATCGGATGGACCATCAATCCTGCTTGTCAAATGCGTCATTGCAAATCCCTCAACCATCAAGCCAGCAGCCACAGTCGTCGAAGCCTAGAATCAGTGAGAATTGCACCTGACCCCTCCACAACTCTCGACAGTGTCGAGACCTCGATGGTCCTTAGTATAATTGCCCTTTTTTTAAGACCAACACCCGGGACAATCTCATTAGCTAGCGAGAAGTGCCGTCAAGTATCAAATGGAAGCAAAATCTCGACTCTGACTCGCATGACCCAGCTCTATAAACCTGGGAAGATACGTGTGTAGTCTCGCACAAGGTGGTTCGCCTTGCCGAAGAGATTTTACTCTGGAGCAAAAGTGGAGACAATTCCCGTTCCCCTGATAGCGAGGTTGATAGACAAGACGACAATTCAGAGCTACATGTGGCGCCGTGTATCTGGGTATGAAGGCTTGTCCTGATGACTCTCGCGAGGAGCATGGTGAGATATTAGCAGTTGAGACAGGCAGACGTCCACCTCTCACGGCCAATAACCGGGTACTGAGCATAATACTAAGCCTCACACAAGTGCCAACTCCCCTAATGACACGAGGTAACCAGATGACACACTCTGGATTGAGTGCGTAGACTCGACCACTTTGACGGGAATCACGCCTAACCTGATCTGGCAGCTTCTTTGAAGACAAAATCGCATCCATGAAAAGCTCTCAGGTGTGACTGTCGAGTCCAGTGGAGTAGAACTGAGACTTGGATGGGATCACCACCGGACTGAAAGAGAAGCCTAATTAGTGAATACCCTTCGGCCGCCTCCCAGATGAATCGCTGCTGACCAGAGGTGAGAGCGTGGTAGAAAATAATACCTCTACCGAATCCAAAAACTTATGGGGACCGCGGGTGATTGGATAACCCTGGAGGCTGTTATGGTTTTGATAGAATTGTTTTCGTGGCAGTGATTGACTTGCAATAACGGGCCAACGCTTTGTGTTACATGCTGACTTGAAGACTATAAAGGGGGAGTCCTTGGGGGATTTCTTTCTACCTAGACTTCTTCTACCATTGCGACCTTTTGACACCGGGGTTCTCAATACTGCTTCTAACGGACATCAACAAAACCGGTACTTGACGAAGAAAACCTTCGCTGGCTCCCAACTCCTCACAGTAATGTGCAAGAAACTCTTTGAAATCGCCCGCTGCAGGGGCTGTGGCAAGAAGGCCGAGCCCCTGTTCAGGGGCTACGAGCGTTGTCAGATTGCCCAGCAATCTAGCCGCGTCCATTGCGACAATCTTACGCCTAAACACAAACATGTAAACGACCCATGTCACCGCTGTGTTCGACGGTACCGCAGCAATGCGGGGAACTAATCGACAGCCGACGTGGATACGACACTCGAAACCAGGTGGATGATTACAGATCTGACGGAACACACAGAGGGCGTCCCTGGATGAAGTGGTAGACGAAGCGAAGTAATCTGAAACATAATTAAGATTTTAGGAAATCATGACGGCATACAATTTGCCTACTCTTCCACAGTGATCCTGCCCTGTCCAATTTTGAGTTCTGGATAACGCAAGACCCATCACGTCCAATACCCAAGGTTGAGATGCCTTGTTAGAACCATGGCATATTAGAATCTTAGGGTTAGGTAGGCGTCGACGAGGAACTCCCTATCGGTCCCCAATATCATACAGCCACTTATACCGCGAAGTTCTCCGCCGTGGACGCTCCTTTCTAGTTAATCTACATGATTGGTCCAAATTACCAAACCTTCTCACAACAACAGAGGGTTGTTGTGGGGAAAACTTGGTTGACAGGGCCAATTATCTCGGTTTAGCCTAGTTTGAGCAAGTTTCCCACATGTAACCCTGCACCGAGGTGCTATTTAACGTCTTTACAGGCCATCCTTCCCAATACCGATTATCCAAATCCGAAATCACACAATCCAACCGTAGCACGCCAACAAGAACCCATCATGGCTTCTATAACAGCCCCCGGCCGTCTAGGTGATCCAGAAATGTCTCTTGCAACAGAACCCCGCATCCACCCCAAGCTTTTGGCGGCCTTGAAAGGCCACGGCATACATACACTGTCGTATCTATCTCCAGACATGACGCCAGACGCACCATTAGACACCATATGCTCTTTCGTGTCCAAGAACGAAGAAGCCATCGAACGTCTCTTCGAAAACATCGATTACAGTGTGCCAGAAGAAACTTCAACGCCGATCACGACATCCGAAGAGTTTGTTCCCGGTCCAGACGGCAACAAAGTTAGGCTGATAATCCGCCGCCCCTCCGAATCCCTAGGCGCTCCCCTGCCCGCAGTCCTCTACTTCCACGGCGGTGGCATGGTCATTCTGCGCACCGAGAATGCCATGCATACCGCCTGGGCGGAATCCCTGGCCAGAACCGGCCTCGTGGCGATTACAGTCGACTTCCGCAACGCCCTGACCCGCACCGGCCTCAACCCATTCCCAGCGGGTCTCAACGACTGCGCCGCGGCCGTCCGTTGGGTCGACGCGCACCGAGAGCGCCTGGGCATCAGTAAGGTCGTTCTCCAGGGCGAGAGCGGTGGAGCCAACCTCGCACTAGCCACGGCCATCAAGGCGAAAAGGGAGGGCTGGATCAAGGCGATTGATGGCGTGTGTGCGTCGGTCCCGTACATTAGTGGGGCGTATGGCTTGCCGATGGAGTGGAAGCTTCGTGAGCTGCCTAGTCTCGTTGAGTGTGATGGGTATCTCATCAGTTGCGCCACCAGCGTGCTTAATGCCAGGCTTTACGATCCCTCGGGTGAGCATGCAAGGGATCCTCTCGCGTGGCCGTATTGGGCTGCCGAAGAGGACATGGAAGGGCTGCCCCCTCATCTCATTGTGACGAGCGAGCTGGATCCGCTGAGAGACGAAGGCAATGCTTACTACAGGAAGCTGGTCGGGGCTGGTGTGAGGGCAGTGGGGAAGATGAATATGGGTGTGATTCATGAGGCCGAGTTGTTTTTGCCCCAGACATTGCCGGATTTGTTTCATGCGAATCTATGGGAGTTGAAGAAGTTTATTGATAGTCTTTAACTGGGGTTGGCAAGTCTCACAAAGGTCACTCATCTGATGGAAATTGAACATGATAACTATCTAATTCGGTATCTCTCAATAACAGACCAAGTTATTGTATTGACTGTTCGTTGATGTCGATGTAATTTGACCGTTGATAATACTTTGCTCGTCATAGACTGGTGGCAGACCCCGTTAGCTATTCATTTCCGCCAGAAGGCATCTAAACACATCTTTCTCCCCATCACTTCCTTTTTGCAGCCTGCACAACAGCTAGATTGGGTCGCTCCAGAAACAGGTTCCAAAACTGTGGGTCCTTCTGCACTATCTCAGCCTCCTCATACGACACCGTTTTGACATCAACCAGTCCAAATCTCTCGTAGACCTCACTTGATCCTGAGTATATAACCTCCAGGCACGCTCCCTCGAACTCAATCGGAGGACTACAGTGAAGCACACACAAATACTTCACACCGCCCGGTATGCGCTCCACCCACCTACACGACCCGCCATACTTCCCGCTCTCAAGCGCCGGGCTCCAAGGATCCGCGTCCCGCACGCCGACGAACCGCCCCCCAGGCTTGAGATACGTGTCGATGTTCCGGAACATGGCCTCAAGCACCTCTATCTTGTCCGCAAAGCTGAAGATCCAATTGCCCATGACGACGTCATACCCCCCCTCTTGCAGCGGCAGATGAGAAAGCGATTTGGAGACATCTGCTTGGAAGAAGCGCATCGTGGTGTCGGACTCGCGACCAAGTGATCGCTCAATCTCCTGACCAATCTTCAGCATCTCCCCCGAGACGTCCACGACGTCTACTCTGGAGGCACCCAGATCAATGGCTTCGCGGGCGTGCAGGCCTGTTCCGCCGCCCAAGTCGAGGATTGAGAGTCCCGTGCAGTCGCCGAGTGCGAGCTTGATGAGTTGGGATTCGAGTTGGCCAGAGGGGAGGAGGCTGTAGTCATTGTAGATGCTTGCTGAGTTGTCGTAGTCTTTCTTTGCTTGGTCTTGCTGGGAGAGGGTCATTGTGGTTAATCTGAGCTGTTGCGAACCTGGCTTGAAGATGTAGTGGCGCCAACTGGAGAAGTCAACTTTGTGGCACGACGAAATAATGGTTATGTGATGTTAACGAGATCGATTTACGTCCACATTTGGAGGAAGAGGAACGGGTTTCCGACGTAGGACCGGCTTTAACCGGGAGAACCCCTTCCCACCCCGGTTTATCCAAGCCCCCACCGAAAATATTTCTGATCAACTATTGGAGTTGCTCATTAGTCATTACTTGCTCATGACGACCCACGAGCGGCGAGACACCGAGTCTGTTGCATGTGGAAAGCTGGGCCAGGAGCTGAGGTCCACAGGGCATCAACTTTCAATGGCATCCAAGTCATTGGTGCTCGTTTCCGATCAAAGGGGCGTTGTTATTCTCGTAACATACAGCATGGACGTCGCTATGAGTGAAGTCTGGCCAATGTTCTCGATAGTTGATTTGGACCTGGGAGGGCCTAGTACAGTTCCCTTATTGAGTATATGCTATCAACAGCCTCCCATCTAAACTGAAGGGCCGATCAGAACTACATGGAGCGTTGCCAGATATTCGAAGCTGTGGGTTAGGTGCATGTTCGTTTATTGACCTTTCTTCTTCAAATATTCTTCTACTTGTTCGCCTGCACCCCGTTCGTCGGCGTCCATGAACACGGTACCGACGATGAGTTGTCCTGAAAGAGTCAGTAGGCAGAATCTAAAAAATTCATCGAACAATCCTCGGAGAGTGATGTACTCACCAAGAATGGGAAAATTTGTCCACATATATATGAACAGATAATACATATACTCAAAAACAACGTTGTCGATCTTCTTGTTGGTGAGATAGAGATTTCGCGATCGAGCTTTGATAGTGGCGACTCGGGGATAGCGAATCTCATACAGCCCCTTGATAGAAAGCGTAACAACCTCCTCGACAGTCAAGCCACCGCCAGTAGCTTCGGCCTTGGCCATGTAATGGGCCAATAGCAGGGAGAAGACCACGCTGTCTTCCAAGGCTTGACCAGCCCCCTGTCCGCTGGTAGCCGGCAGTGTATGTGCCGCATCGCCAAGGAGCACAGCCCCTCCTTCCCCCCAGTGTGGTAGATCCGGTGTCGTCCAGATGGGATATATGCGGTCCGTGTCCATTTCCTCGATAATGTTCTGGATAACCGGATCTTTCCACGTTCCATGGCGTTCCCGGAGTTGTTTTCGAATCTCCTCTGGATCCATAACATTGCCGTCTGGAGCCTCAGGGGTGCCCCAATTGGACCACCATCCAAGCTTCCGCTGCGACTGCGGAGCTGCAGAACAATAGCCAAAAGAACCTGTAGGTCCGAACGTGAAGACCATACTCCTGTGCTTAATGATCGCCTCTGGAATGTCTCCCTCGATGAAGGCGCCGACGCCACAAAACCCCCTGCCACACAATTTTAGTCTCTCATAGTATATTGGCGGGATGTATTGGTTAAAACTGACTCATAACACGGGGCATACTGGCGGTCATTTTCCTCCCCAAAAATTGCCTTCTTCACGACACTCCGCACGCCGTCGGCACCAATCACCAAGTCCGCACTCTCCTCTCCGCCATCTGCCAACCTGACAACTGGCTTTTCCCCGCTCAGATCAACCTCAGAAACCGTTCGGTACTGGATCTTGTCCTCCCCAACGACCTCGTGTAGACACTCCCAGAGACCATATCTCGGACACGATACGGTGTACTCCTCCGGAGACTCCTTATCACCAGTCGAGGTCACGGCAATGAGGTGGCCCCGTGCAGTCCTGAAAGTATAAGATTCATTTACGCAGCCTCGTGCCTTGAAGATGTCATATACCCTGGTATCGATGTATTTCAGCAGTCGCATGCTACTGGGCACCAGAGCGATGCTATTCCCGACGATTGCGGCCCTGTCCGTGAGGCCTTGTTGCTCCGCCAACGATGGGTTCGAGGAGCGGGAGGAGTTGTCTCCCCGGGGCTTGTGTGACTCGAAGATGAGGACCGTGTGCGAATCGAAGGAGGGAAGCACCTTGCACAGCTGCAAATAGGTGGAAAGACCGGCCACACCAGCGCCAACGATGATGATCTTCATGTCGAGGCGTGGCTTGTGGGATGGTGGTGCTCAATGAGCCAATTTGATTGGTACGGCAATACAAACGCGTTTGAACCCGATCACCAACTGTCTTGAAGCCAAGGCCGTTCTTTGTCATAGCTTGATGCCTCCTGAAAAAGGGAGCGCCACGCTGAAACTCTCGGGCCCCTCTCCTCGGATGAGGTGGCCCGTGCCCTCTCTTGCCAAAATCCGGGGTGGAAAACCGTTGGTCAAATTAAAATTTAGTCGATTTTTGTGTAGTAGTGACGGAAGCTAACTCCTAGATGTATAGGTACGTACGGTAAATGCACACTCACCGCCATGCAATGTGTGCGATATACTTGTGAGTACAACTATAGCCTTAAGGTGGAGTGCGGGAGACGAATCCTCGGTTCTGGTGAAACTTCTCAATGCCACCACCCCACACCGCGGTGGAAGATGTGCTGCGTAAGAAACATCAATAATAATCGAGATTCAGAAGAGCTGGAAAGGAGGCGTTGAATTGTGCGGGTGGCAGAAAGCTGAGGAGCCATTGACAATCGTTTGCTTGCCGAGCAGAATCCAAATGGGGACTCGTTATTGAAGCTTTGACGAAGCTGCCGCCATGCCACAGGCCATCAAGGCTTAAAACTTGCTCTATCCTTCTCATACGTCCGCAAATGGAAAGAGTCTGGAATGCACTCTATCCAACTCAATTGGCCTACAGCGCCCATTGTGCGCAAATATTTACTACATCAAGTTACACCCCTACCAAGGCGGCTGGATGCCAATATATCTGCATGTACTGTACCTTTGCTCATGTACCCTTTTCCAAGGTCATCGCGTATAGTAACCTTAGTGGACCCCGGTAAGATGTAGCGTGTACACGCTCGTTGAAACTTGCTCACCTTAATTAATTTGAGCAAATTTCACCACCCCCACGATTCTTCCGTTTTGGGCCAAACTGGAGATGGCCTTGAACAGGCGACTCGAAGCTCGCGGATATGTCATCAAGACCTGGGGTCGCAAATTAATTACCTTGATCTGCATTGGCGAACTCCACGACAAATCCTCTTCGTCAGACGAACCGACACGGATCCTCGCTCCTGGCTGCAACAAGAACTAAAAAGGGCCGTCTGCTTTTGACTTACTGCGTGACACGGGTGGTCTCCACTTAGACTGCTGCGGCACGATGAAGCTATTCCCACTCTTCCTCCTCACCACCGCATCCCTCTTTACCACCGCCCTCGGTGGTGGCCTCATCGGCTACGGCCAATGGTGGTATGACCCAAAATGTTGCTACGCGTGCCGTGGCATCATTGGCGGCGCTTCGCTCGAGTGTCCCGATGACAGCATGGACGGCATGGACATGGGCGGCATGGACATGATGGCCACAGCATCACCAATGGCCCCCTGCATTTCTGAGAACGATGCGTTTCTGACCACTCTCGCCTACTGCATCAACTCGACATGCGCCGCCGACGATGTGCCAACCTGGAAGATTGAGAAATACTGGGCTGACCAGGCAACCGGTGACCCAACTCTTCCAGCCAAGTGGACTTATGGCGCGGCTCTCGCAAACATCACCAAGGCCCCGGCCAAAGTTTGGAAGACTGGCGACGTGCTCAATTTCACGGCTCTGCTATCCTCCAGCGACTATGACTACCAAAGATCTTTCGATGATCTCTTTGATTGGGAGGAAGCTACACAGTCAACATACGTGTAAGTATTCAAAACATTTCCTCGTTCGCCAAACATTGCACTAACCTTGGTTTTCCCAGGATTATCATCATCACTGTCGGCGTCGGGACTCCACTGTTGATATCTTTACTCGGCCATCTTCCATACATGACCGGCGTCTTCGACAAGCTCAAACCATTCCTCGTGTACCCCTCGATCATCGGCACATACAATGTCCGACCTCTTCCGTGGGGGCTGGGAAACGCACCGACGGTCGGCCAGAGTCTCTACATCGCCATGTTCGTCATTCTCAACATCATTCTCGGCTCCGTCTCGTATCGAGGATTTGATCAACCACACCCATGGGGGTTCTCCCGAACCGGCGAGATCTTGGCATATGTCGGATACAGGACGGGCCATATCTCTTTTGCGCTCCTCCCCTTGACCGTCCTTTTCTCTTCGAGGAATAACTTCCTCCTCTGGCTGACGAACTGGCCGTTCTCCACCTTCCTGGTTCTCCATCGCTGGGTCGCACGTGTCTGTGTTATCCATGCCGTCGTCCACTCCATCACTCTCCTTGGCGCGTACGTCGGAACCGGAACCTATTACACGGACGTGCACAAGCCGTACTGGATCTGGGGCATAGTGGGCACTCTCTGCCTCGTCATCCTGCTCTTCCAGAGCATGGTCTGGCTCCGCCGTGCATCTTACGAGATCTTCCTCATCCTGCACATCCTCCTCACCGTCTTTGTCATTGCCGCGTGCTGGTACCACGTCATGTACTGGAAAGGCTTCACGGGAATCTACGAGTACTGGCTCTACGCCGTCAGCGCCGTCTGGTTCTTCGACCGTCTCATTCGCGTTCTTCGCATCTGCAAGAACGGAATCCGCCGAGCGACTGTGACAGAGATTACCCCGGACACCGTCGCCGTCCAAGTCGAGGGGCTGCGATGGAGCCCCGAACCAGGATACCACGCCTACGTCTACTTCCCCACCCTCAACCCCCTCCACCCCTGGGAGAACCACCCCTTCTCCATCACCCACACGTCCATGCTCCACCCCCAGCGACACACCCCCACCAGCCCAGCCGGCTCCTCCCTCCCCCGCCACTCCTCCTCCGACAACGACATCGAAAAAGCCACCGGCAAAGCCACCCCTCTCGAAACAACCGTCCTCCCCCACCCCCCCGCCACCACCACCTCAAATAGCATCACCCTCTACATCAAGAAACACACCGGCATCACCCGCTACCTCGGCACGCACACCAACCTCCCCGTCCTCTTCGACGGGCCCTACCGCGGCAACGCGCGCGACGGCATCCTCGCGTGCGACCGCGTCCTGCTCATCGGCGGCGGCATCGGCATCACGGGCCTGCTGACGTGGGCGCGAGGCGCGCACGCCAACGTCAAGCTCGCGTGGGGCGTCCGCCAGGCCGCCGAGCCGCTCGTGCGCCACCTGGCCGCGGCCCTGGACGCCGTCGCCGACAAGGAGGTCGTCGTGGGCAGGAGGCTGGACGTGGATGCTCTGTTGGCGCACGAGGTGCGCGCCGGGTGGAAGAGGGTTGGCGTCGTGGTCTGTGGGCCGGCGGAGCTGTGCGATGCTGTGAGGGCGGCGGTTGCGGGTTTCGGGAGGCAGGAGAAGACGATCTTTGAGCTGGAGGTTGATGCTTTCTCGTGGTGAGTTTTGTTTGCTGTCGACGTCGTGCGAGGTTTGGGATTGAAGGCTGAGGATGGACGGGGTGTGGTAAAACAATAAAAATGATAATACTTAGTTTGTGGGTAGCAGAACGGCCTGGTTTTAGTTTGTATGGACATGTACTGTGCATCGATCACGCTCGTTTCCCCGTTATATTCTATCCTCCTTTCACTGAGCCGATGTGAATGGGACAGTTTCCAGAATGCTGGTGATCTCTCCTCTGCGTTGCTGTTTTTTTTTGCCACTGGATTATATGCGTACAGCCTAACCCATTTAGGTATATTGCGCAGTAGTAACCCACAGGAAGTCCTAAGCCAGAAGAGGAATCGTACTTTTGGTTCCCCCCCTGGAAGCTCGCTGCCCGTTGCGGAACGGGCCGTAATTACCGAGTCGTAGTGGTGTTTCGGCATGTAGAACCCCACTGCCGTGCTCGGTGCATGAGTAGCTTGCTATTTTACGATTTGAGATGACGAACGAATGGACTTCCGGCAATGCAGTACGCTCTTCGGCGTCGAATCCGTGATATTTTGACACGAGGCCACAGCAATTATAGGACGACATCAACGCTGGGCATGATAGATTATTCCGTAGCGAGCGAACACACCTATATTGGTGCATTTGGAACTATCAACCGTGTGGCAGCCTACAGCTAGCATGCAGCTTCCAAGAGAATGTGACAAGCAGACAAACCTCGCCCATCGGTCCCCCACTCAAGTCCGAACAGTTGCATTACCAAGCCCATCAATTGGATGCATTGGAAGTTAGCGTATGCACGTATTCTCCGCTTACATGTCCACCAATATACTTACCAGGCTTGGTTTCGACCGTGAAGATCCTGCCCTTGGTATTGGAGGCATGGGTGCCGTACGAACGCTGGAGGTTCATCTCCTCCTCGCTGAGTTGGGTATCGGCCGACTGGCCATCCTTGGGGGGCCAGTTTGCCTTCCATGGCTGGACTTTCTTCTCGATGGTGAAGATACGTCCCTTAGTGTTGGACGCATGCGTCCCATATGAGCGCTGGAGATTCATCTCCTCCTCGGTGAGCTGGGTCTCAGCCGATAGAGCATCCTTCGGAGGCCAGTTGGCCTTCCACGGCTGGACCTTCTTGTCAATGGTGAAGAGGCGACCCTTGGTGTTGGAGGCGTGGGTCCCGTACGAGCGCTGGAGATCCATTTCCTCGGGGGTCTGCTCAACCTGGGCGGCAACGCCATCTGCTGGCGGCCAGAACTGCTTCCAGGGCTGGGACTTGGTGGCTGGGGCCATGTTGGTGTTGTTGTCTTAAGATGTGCTATGCAGAAAATGTGGTACTGAGGATGCTCTTGGAGAAACCGTGAAGGTGATGAAGGCTCGACTCTTTATACAACATTCCCTCCTCGATACGCTGACTACTGGATTAGCTTGGAGCCCCTTATCCAAGTCGCATTGCATAATGTGAATTGCAAATTGAATCATCCAGGCAACTAGTAGTGGCCCCCGCAACCCTCTCAAGAAGTATCACCATCCCGCGTCGACGGCGGCATGCCAACTAAGAAGAATATGGAGGCGATCTTCAACCCCGTGCTCGCGCTGGAATATCACCATACGCTGGTATCCAGGGCTAGATGTCGAAATATGCTCGAGTTACAGGTACCAATGCAAGTCAATGCCGAGCCAATTGGACAAACCTTCTCAAACAGGCTCATTCGAATTCAAGAAGTGGGTGTGCGCGTGGATCAGCGAAGATCGGCATGGATCAAGTCTCGCATGCCCAGCCAAGACGGTCTGGTACACACCTCGCCTGCGGTATTATAGGTTAAATCGGCAAGTGTCAAGTTACTTTATTTTTTCACCGAGCTACCAGCCAAACAAAAGTAGAGAACCCTCGCAATTTAATGCTTAATACTCCGGCGGTGGTGTATTGCAAGACAAACTGGGGGATTCCCTCATAAAAGCTCGCAAATATGCTCAGTTACATCGTCGGCTCCTCATCCTCAAGATCCCTCCGCTGATTGGCCGCCAGGGAGCGACCTGCTTGACGCACACAGAGCATGTCAGATAATGCGCCATTCGCGTAGATCGTGGGAACCATTGGTTGGGTGGTTGAGATGTAGCATTGGCTGGGGAGAAAGGCCCTTGCTTCAAGATTCCGTACCTTAATTGGACGTTCTCCCCTTGATGAAGGCGTAGATAATCGCGTGATCCACGTCGAAAAGAGCTCACTAGTTGCTTCTCTCAGAGTGTCCCATTGGTTTCACCCGAGCATATATCTATCCCCTGTGTCTGTGCATCGTCTCTTTTGTGCCAATCCTGGTCAACCCTTTCTCACCTTTGCCAATCACCATTGTCAAACGCCCTGCCTAGTTTTGCCAGACATGGAAGACCCGATCGTTTCGACCATCAGATACGCTCAGGCGGACAACGAGGCTCTCATCAATGAAAAGGCCTACATCTTGAACTACCCCACCCCTCCCGAGATACCCAAAAGCAATTTCACCATTGACTTCTTTCCCGGAATCAAAATTCACAATCTCCGAACGGCGGGCCTCAACTGGGATGAGAATGGCTTGACCATGGCCAAGCTTCCCAGCTGCATGCCGAAGGAGGACTTTGACGATGAGGAGAAGATAGAGAAATTCTATCTCCCAGAAGTGTATAGCTGTATTCGCGACACCTTGGGTGCCGAGGAAGTGTGCATCTTCGACTACATGATCAGAAAGCGTGAGCCTGCTTTTCCATACCAGGCCAAGACAAAAGACAGAGCACCCCAGCCAGCTCTATCTGCTCACATTGGTACGTGAGAATACATAGTTCATGCTTTTCAAAAGTTTTAACACGTCCATCAAGACTACACGACGGACGAAATCAAGGGTCGGGTGCAGAAATACTTCAAGGAGAAGGCGGAGGACTACGGCAAACGGCATTTCCAAATCGTCAAGTAGGCCTCATCCATCTACCCCTCCATGTAGATATCTGCTTACGAAGTTTCCAGTGTGTGGAAGCCACTTGCCGGACCACTGAGAGACTACCCAATGGCGTATTGCGACGCCAAGACCATGGATCCCAAGACAGATCTTCTGGCCGTCGATGAAGTCTTTCCCACGGTTGCAAACGAAGTCTATCAGGTTCTGCATAACCCGAACCACAAGTGGTACTATATCCCAGACCAACTCGACACGGAAGTAGCCATATTCGCGGGCTACGACTCTGAAAAGGGTCAGACTCTCTCAGTACCGCACTGTTCTTTCGACCTGGGAGATAATAGTTCAGGGGGACCACGACAGAGCGTTGAAGTCAGAGCCTTTGTCTTTTACAAGGACAAATGAATGTTGATGAACACTGACTCCAGGGGTATTTCTGTAGCCTGATAGGGCCGTTGCAACGCTTTTGCTTGTCTTCCGCAATGACGTCTATTCATTCCGTTTTGATGAGAGAAAAGTGAATCCATAGCACTCCTTCTACTCTGAAGGTACATGTCATAGACTATGATGCTCTCAGACGACAACCACATGCCGACAGAATTCTTACTTGGACGGAGCGGGAAGGGCAGTTGGCACACGAGCAAAACATAACTCCACAAGCAAGCACAATTCGGTGGATTCACTTTCCTCCGGCAGTCATCTCGTAGCTCACTAATAGAATTCGATGTCATTGATAGTCCTAGAGGTTGATGACAACACGGCATAGGGGACCTAGATGCACGATATGCACTATGCAGTCCCCATTGAAAGGCAAATAGTATACACAAATTTGGAACCATTGAACCATGTCATCCGCCTTACACTCTGACCATTCTATCTCATACTGATGCCGACTCGCCGAAGTCCTCCTGCCAGAACCTCAATACTGATATGGAAGATTGAGTATGGGGGTGATTGCAGCCAATGATCTGCTGGCGCTTTTGAATGCAGTCCTTCAACAAGACAACTGCCTCATCGCGTCGACCAGATGCATGCCAAGTGCAAGCCAGGTTGTGCATGCTAGACAGCGTATCAGGATGCTCCTTGCCTAGCACCCTCTTGCTTGTCTCCATTACCTGCACCCCTAGCTTCTCAGCCTCCTTCCATCGGCCCTTATTCAAGTATATTGATGCCAAGTTGTGCATGCTAGTTAGTGTATCAGGATGCTCCTTGCCTAGCACCCTCTTCCTTGTCTCTATTACCTACACCCCTAGCTCCTCAGCCTCCTTCCATCGGCCCTAATTCCTGCACCCCTAGCTCCTTAGCCTCCTTCCATCGGCCCTGATTCAAGTATATTGATGCTAGGTTGCGCATGCCAGCTAGCGTATTAGGATGCTCCTTGCCTAGCACCCTCTTACTTGTCTCCATTACCTGCACCCCTAGCTCCTCAGCCTCCTTCCATCGGCCCTGATTCCAGTATGTTGATGCTAGGTTGTGCATGCCAGACAGCGTATCAGGATGCTCCTTGCCTAGCACCCTCTTACTTGTCTCCATTACCTGCACCCCTAGCTCCTCAGCCTCCTTCCATCGGCCTTGATTCCAGTATGTTGATGCTAGGTTGTGCATGCCAGACAGCGTATTAGGATGCTCCTTGCCTAGCACCCTCTTGCTTGTCTCCATTACCTGCACCCCTAGCTCCTCAGCCTCCTTCCATCGGCCTTGATTCCAGTATATTGATGCTAGGTTGTGCATGCCAGACAGCATATTAGGATGCTCCTTGCCTAGCACCCTCTTGCTTGTCTCCATTACCTGCACCTCTAGCTCCTCAGCCTCCTTCCATCGGCCTTGATTCCCGTATGTTGATGCTAGGTTGTGCATGCCAGACAGCGTATTAGGATGCTCCTTGCCTAGCATCCTCTTGCTTGTCTCTATTACCTGCACCCCTAGCTCCTCAGCCTCCTTCCATCGGCCCTGATTCAAGTATGTTAATGCCAGGTTGTGCATGCTAGACAGCGTATTAGGATGCTCCTTGCCTAGCACCCTCTTCCTTATTTCCCCAGCTTGCATTCTCAAATCCTCTGCATTGCTCCACCTACCCTCAAAATCCAGATATCCAGCCATGCAGTGAAGCAGAGTTGCCTTTGCCTTCTCCACTTTGACTGATGCGCTAACATCAAGCCTTAGCACGGCATTTCCATGTGGCAGATATGCACTGCATATGGCCCGGGTTTCGAACCTGCCAAATGGGTACATCTCGGACACTGTTAAGAGCGCCTCCCTCTTGTAACGGCTAGCAGTGTCCTCTTTGGTAAGCCACTTGCGCGTTACTAACTGCACAAGCCGGTGTATGTCGAGGTTGCCGCTCTTCTCTCCCGATACAAGAGAGAATGCTTTGAGAACGCCGATAGCTTTGATAAACTCTATGCGAGTCTTAAAACGGCTATTGCGCTCTCCATAGTTTGATAGGAATTCCTCTGGAATCGCCTGTCGGTCCCAGAAGCTCATCAGCGAGAGCAGTTCGCTTGCGAAGGGATTCTGCAGCTGGATCTGCTGAAAAGAGAGCATCCAGGTCTCTGCAACCGCCCGAGGCGTCTCCGAGTCTCGCCCAACTGTCTCAAACTCGTTGCTGAGTAGTTCGACGAGACTTTGGTCGCCGCCGTCCAACAGTAGCAGGTATTCGCTGACTGATATGCTGTTCTCCTGAATGAAAGCCGCGGCTTGGATAAGGGCTAGGGGAAGATGTTCAAGTCGAGAGGAGATAATCGACAGATTAGCAGAATCGATGTGTTCGTCTCTCAGCCTGGAATGAAGCAAGCGTCTCGACTCCTCTTCCTCCATGCGGCATACCTGAATCGGGAGCTGGCTCGTACTCAGCCTCACCGCCACCTGTTTGTTTCGCGTCGTGATCAACATGGCTCCATGGCTGCACTCGGGGAGATAGCGTGCGATATCGCCATCGCTCACAATCGTGCTTTTAGCACACCCAGGCGAACTGAAGAGCTCCAGATCGTCGGCGTTATCGATAACCATAGTCCACTCTCCGTGGTCCTTCTTCTCTAGCCACGTCTTCACTAGATGTAACAGGTCTGATGTGGAGTCGTCAAAACCCGGTATCTGGCATTCCTTTGCGATCTTGGCGAACGAGTCGCGAAACCGCTCAGCATTGCTTGCATGAACCCAGTACACCGACATATTCGGGTATGAATTGTGCAGCCAGTAGGCGTATTCCAGCGCAATCTGAGTTTTTCTGTCCCAAATTAGCGTGTCCTTCGCCCAGATGTGCGACGGGCTTACCCGATGCCTCCCAAGCCATAGAGCGACACCCGTGCTTGCGCGGTCCTGGACATCACTTCAGCGGGACCGAGCTGCTCCTTCAGTTGCTCTAACACCCTCGACCGGCCAACAAACTCTGGATTGCTTGGGTATGGCACGAGAACTATTGCGATCAGCCACAGCAGAAGTCCATTGCTACTGGTACTACTTACAGGCTGAAGCACCACCACCACTGGGTAGGTCCTGTCCCTCTTGGTCGCTGCGTGTTTCACCCGCTTCGTTCGGCAGACGGGCACTCCCGCCCTGTACTTGCGCTGCCCCCGTTGCTTTAACCCATCGGCGGAGCTCCCCGCACACAGCAGTAAATCCCGCATCGTCCATGTCTGCAAACTTGGTCATTTCTGAATGGTTGCCTCGGATTCCAATCGGGATGTAGCCAGGGAGAATGGCCGAGTCTTGTGGCACGACCTGTTCAAATTGTAAGCTTTTGACCGCAAATCAGGCGTGGCAAACTGACTAGACCGATCACCGGCATGGGTAGCTCCTCATAAAAGCAGGTGATCTCGATTGGTGGAAGACCATACTGGTTGCGTGCCATGACCATGCCGTGAAAACTGTCCTGGATCCTCGCGAGCACCTCCGAGTCGCGCCTAAGGATTTGGACGATCTCCGCGTTGGTCTGCTTCATCATGCCAATGGTCCGCGACATCATCTCGGCCCATCGCGCAAGACCGGCACCACGGTGCGGGGTCCCGAGGAAGGCGATACCCAGCGTCTGCTGAATGATGCTCTGGAGATGAGGTTCTCTCCGCTCTTTCGACTTGACCAAAGCCTATCCTTTGTGTCAGCAGAAGGTTATTTTTGGTGGGGGGGGGGGGGGGGGGGGACCAACGCTCACAACCTCGCATAACAGGCAGACCAACGTATGCCACCCGAAATTGAACGGGCGATAATGGTACATTTGTTAGTAGTGTGGAG